TTGGCCCCCGATATTTGAGATAGGAAAAGGTTTTGCAGCACATGTCCGTCCTGGCAACACCTACCTAGCTCCCCCAGGGCCAGGGGGAGACACGTGCAAGACGAAGATAGGTAGCCCAGGCCCTCAGGCTGGCAGAAACATCCCGTGAATAAGGCTAGCGGGTCCAGTCGACAGGAAAGCTTGAAGGAGGGCGAGATTCGTCCCCGTCATCCCCGACCGCCTCCGACACGGGCACAGCGACTCGCACATGCGCAGAGGCATTCCCTCTTCCTTTGCAGAAGGCAGTGCTGACTCGATGCACATTGTCATGATGATGGTCTGCGCCTCTTTCGCGCGGCCGCATGCTTCAACGAACAGCCTGTGATTCTCGACATAACGCCAGGAATAGATAGTTGGCCAAAGACCATTTGTGCCGTGGAGATGAGGCGATTCACAGCAAATTCATCAGCCGGTAGAGAGCAACACACTCACAGATTCCCCTGGGTGTTGGGACACACGAACCAGACCAGAATGGATGATATTACACACTACGTAGTAGTAGAAGAGATGGGCCGTACTACGTACTGGGACGGACGTTGATTGATGATTGGGCGAGCCGGAAGGAAGCGACGCAGGAGGTGGGTGACGTTGGGGGCGAGGGGACAGAAAAGGTTTCGGCATCGCCAACAGCCGCCCCCTTCTACAACCCCCTGCACCCGTTTGATCCACAATTGGCAACGGCGCTAGCACTAGAAAAGCATCGCACTTGAAGGTTTTCCCACTAGTGCCCCCCCAGATTTGGGGCTCAAGTCCAATAGTAAACCTTGTCATCTTCAACCTCACAGCCAGGGGCTCGGGCATTTGGACCACACGACGAAACCCAGACGTGTCACATCACTGCTTCACATCATCGCCACTTAATGCTTTCCGACCGAGCCTCTTGCCGGTACGACGAAATACACACACACACACACACACACACACACGCGCGCGCGCGCACACGCACACGCACACGCATCCATTTCTCTTACTCGCTTTCCTTTTTCTCCCCAGCCAGCCTCTGCGCCGGCCTGCAGCACATTCGATTGTCGTCTGCCGGGGTTGCTGCAACCAAGACCACGTACAGATATAGCACTGTTGTCTCCGTCTCCTCAGCCCCGCCTTGGCCCTCGTGTGTTGTCACATGGCTGGAAGGCAAGGGGCCTACATACGATTAGTAGAGAGAGGCAATCAGGAACGTACCAGCCCAGCCAAAGTTAGCGGGGGTCTTGACGAACATGGATGGCGTTGGCATCCCGCGCCCAGCCCTGCTCCCCCATGTCCCGAGCACTTCCTCGACAAGGACTAAGACCACCTGTGATGCCGTGTTGCGGCCCCCGCGGCATTCCAACCAGCAATATGCACGTCAAGAGACGTTCGCCCCATCTGAGCCCCCCTCCTCACTCACCATCGTCCTGTCGTCGACCGGACTGAGAGGTACAGACCGCGTCTCATTCGCTCCCTGCTAGGCTCGGCTCTCATGGTCCTCGTCTTCTGGCTGGCCCCTCCTTCCCGTTCTTGGCCGGGGTGCTCTTTCGAGTCTGCCACCCTCTCTCTCTTGGACCACACCCATCAGCCGTGCTACCCTTGCCTTGTCCCCAAGGTTGGACTTGGGCCCATTTGGCTGTTTGGCTAACCCTCCGGACCTCACCTGGCCCGCGCGGGGGCCCTCCCGAGCCCTCTCCCTTGCTAGCCCCCTACCAAGGTGGACCTTTCCATCGTCGGCCATGGCCTTTTCACCTCTTCATGCGGCCTCTTCTCGCCTCTCATTCTCCCCGCTGGACTTGTTGGAAAGTGGTCTTTCCCTCCCTCAGGCCGGTCCCTTTCTTTTCTCTCTCTCTCGAGTGGCTGGTCCTCGCTTCTTGTTTCTGTTCGTAGGCCCCGACTTTGTCTTAGTGTCTGTTTCGTCTGGTCTGCCCTCTTTGTCCAAGAGCGGAAGTCCTTCACAATCCGTCCTGTCTTTCCACTTACTCTTTTCATTTCTCCATCCCATCCGCACGATTGCAGTATTCTCTTCCTCGTCCTCATCCTTTCTTCCACACTTTTTACGACAGGGACATCTTCGACCGGTTTATGGATTAGATGGTTTGGGGAGCGAAGTAATATCTGGCACCGCTGCGGCTCGACGCCTGCGCTCCTCCTCTCTTCGACCACTTGCCAGGTAAACAATCGACGAGATGGATAGCTGGGGACACGACGACCTGTGGGCGCGGGGCGACGTCGGCGGCGTAACGGCTGGCTACGGAAATGCCGTGGATGATTCGATACGAGGCTCCTACAAGGCCACCAACACTTCGACGGCCGCCATCATCAACCAGTTCCGTTTCCAGTCTGCGAAATCGATACGAACCTCGACCATCATTCTCGCCGTTTTCAATGTCATTGCCGCCTTCGCGACAGCAGTAGGAATCTTTTGGGATGGATATTCAACGGCTAAGAGGGCCAACCAGAAGTTTGGCTTCAGGTACGGACGGCAGCATTTGGCATCGCCATTGACGAGGAGGCACTGGCTAACCGCTCATTCCAGAACACATGGTTTCAACTTCGTTGGACCTGCCGAGACCTTCCCTCTGATTCTCTCTGTTGGCATTGTTGTCCAGGGCATCGTCTTCGCTGTTGCACAGTCGACTGGACTCGACCACCTGCTAACTCTGGGATGCACCATCACCTCCCAGATGATGCTGCCTGGTTCGTGACCTCTGGAGCTCCCAGTCACTCAAATCTCGCTAACAATATCTGCAGCGGTTTTCATTGTTCCCTATATTCAATTAGTATTCGCCCTGGAGGTGGCTTTTCGCTCTCTACGAAAGAACCCGCTGCCGCCTCGTAGCAAGTGGAACGTTACCATTTGCCTAGCCACTGTCGGCACTTTCCTACTCGTTACCTACCTCGTTACTCTCTTTGTCCGTCCTCCCAACTTCTGTTTTGCGTCCCTCTTCTGGTTCGTCCAGCGCTGGAAGGAGGGGTGCTTCGTTATCCTAACAACCATCTCGGTGGCACTGCTTGCCTCGACCCTTGTTATCTTCTTTCGCCTGCACAACAATACAAGGATTGAGAACAGCGAGCGTGTCGCTGCTTCCAGGATGGTCTACTTCCTGGCGGTCGCCTTCATTTCGACTGTAAGTGGAATAATCTCTCTTCTCACCCACGGGGCATCCGGCTGACGACGACTTAGACACTTCTCATTCCTTTCTTCTTCACTCTCTCATTTACGGAGCAGCGAGCTGCTACTGGACAAGCCCTTACACTTGCCATGATTGCCACTGTCGTTGCCAACGTGTCTGGCCTGATGACTGGCGGCCTACACCTGTTCTTGCGTTCAAACACCCTCTCCACCATCGGTCCCTGTCACGGTGAAAAGTGGGAGTCCGAGCGTAATAAGCTCAAAGCCGGTATCCGCGTCTACAGTGGTGGCAACAACGATTACGAAAATCACATGATGAACCCCGTCGGCCGAGCACAATCCCTCCGACGGATGGACAGCACCGACAGCCTGGTGCCCGAGAAGGAGGAAGAGGCTCGTATCGAGAGCCCCTCCGGCTCGCCCACGTATGCCAACCCTCTCCAGTCGAATTCTGTGTGGCAGATGGTCCCTGCTCCTCTGCGGACACCTGAACCCGCGCAGGTTTCGACTTACCAGATCCCAAAGACCCACGCGCGCAAGAGGTCCTACTCGTTGTTCCCAACCGAGCAGCAAAACAACACCAAATCAATCACCTTGCTCCCGGCCAAGGCATACAATCCCGCTGTGACAACATTTGAAGAGGATGACGTGATGTTCCTCCAGCCCCCGCCATCAATTCACCCTCAAGGCATTCGCCATCGTCGCGACTCTTCACTCGCTTCGTCGGCGACTGTTCAGATTGGCCTACGTCTGTCAAACGTCGATGACATGCCGCCTCTCACCTCTCAATACTTTCAGAACAACTCAAGCGTCACCAGTCTTGACTGCACCGACGAACGGGACATGGATGCCCTCAAGCGGCCCAGCCCCTTGACGCAGGTCGATGCCAACGGTGAAAGTGATTCGTCCGACTCCGAGGAGGACGAGACTCTGGCGTCATCGCCTGTCCGTCACGAGAAGGATGCACGGATGAAGACTCTCCCATCTGTTCCCGATCACTCTGCGCATGGGCAATCGCAACCGGAGGAGCGAGAGCCGCAACAGCTCACTCTCAGCCCGACGGTCTATAGACCCGAGAGCCCTCAGAAGACTAGAGTCACCAGCCCCCAAGGCGTTGGCTTCAACAACCTTGCGCAGCGCAAGAAGGCTCCAGTCCAGTGCACCAAGCAGGATTGCCAATGCTCCGGTCAACATGACAAGCGTGATTGGATCTGAAGCTACATCACTACTAGCGTTTGGACGCTCGGAAGCGATTTAATCGATGTGTCCTTTACAACGGACGGTAAAAGCGTTCGATCTGACTTTTTTTTTTTTTTGGTCATTGATCGGAGTTGACGGCGCACCACAACTTTTCTCTTCTTACATGTACTATTTCATTGGACGGCGTTTTCTAATTGCGGAGATACCTGTACGACACACCGTCTACATATTGTTTGTTTTCTTTATCTCTAGCAATGGGTCTGCAAGGACGCATTGTGTATTATCTGGGTGGGCACGGCTGCACGGCTTTCATTGGAGAGGACCGGACGCCTGGTAAGGAGGATTCAAGAGCCTTGGGATTCCAAAAAAATGGATGGGATGGACATGATGGTATATGATTAGCCACGAGGCAGACGGAAGAGTGGAGGTAAATGTCACTAGAGAGGGCCCTTATACGACAAGAAATACGATAGCTCAATGAATCAAAAAGAGCCCAAAACAAAATGCTGATTCTTGCCGCTGCGTAATAAGTGACATGAACCATCGCTTGAGCCTGGCAGACCCCAAAACCTAGCGTGGTTGTCAGGGAATGACGGGCCTGGATTATTTAGTGCTGCGCATGAGAAGGATGGTTAGATTTCTGTTCGAGTCGTGTTTCTTATTTGCTCTTCTGCCGATCCGCCTCCACGCGCCTCTCCTCCCACTTGTCCCAGCCAGCTTGGCACGGATCCTCTTCCACCGCAAGATCACGGAATCTAAACAGCCGCGCAATGGGGGTCTGCAAGACCCAGGCCAAGAGGCCAAAATCCCTCGCGATTGCCGTGACCATGAACCAGCCCACGGCGCACACCGAGCCGGCCAGACAGCCGACCAAAACTTGCTTCACGGTGTGGTAGTCGAGGTATACCCTGCTCCAGGCCACCGCGGCGGCAATGCCCAGCGCCGCGACGCTGACGACGACGCGCTCGATGAGCGAGTAGGGCTGGTGGTGCCTCCGCGCGGAGGTAGGCCGGTGCCTGACCAGTAGGAACAAGACAAGGAAGATGGACCAGTAGGCGACGAACTGGGCGTGGGAGCTGGGCATGCCGTAGCCCTTGCCGTGGATGCGGCGGGGGCGCTCCTCCTTGATGAGGCGTTTGAGGGCGAAGTTGATGGCCTCGCAACCCAGCTGGCCAGCGAACATGAGGACGATCTCGATCTCGCGGGTGGACCAGATCAGGGTCGCGTAGACGATGCATAAGGCCTGCGGGAGCAGGGCGAGCCACGCGCAGAGGAACGAGAGGGAATCATCGGGGTCCTGGGAGGAGGTTCTGTTAGTCTTCCTTCTGCTGCAGGCGAAGAGGAGGAGAGAAGAGGATGACGGGTAAGGTCTCACATAGTAGACGTGGGTGAGGGAGAGGGAGGCTAGAGGTCTCGTGTCTTGGTCCATGCTTTCAACTGCGCAGTTTCGACTGCATTCCGACCTTGAGTCAGGGTTTTGATGGCCGACCGTGGGAGGGGGGCTATGTCCTTAAAAAGAATAATACTCTGGCGGTGGAACCCATGTGGCTCCGGAAAGAGGGGTGGTTGAATCGTGTTATAGCGGAGAGAATTTTGACTCCTCACGGGGGCTGGTAAAGTTGGAGCGCACGTCGCGGATCGTGGTGCACAGCACTCTGGAAATGTCAAAGTCCTGCTGGCTGGCGCATTTGCCAGCTTCTTTGTCTAATTACCTACGTCAGGACCCAGATCGCATGGCTTCGAGCCCTGTAGGCCAATCAGGAGCTCCATGCCCCTCCCCACCAGCGCCTTTCTGTGGCTTTGTGGCGAGGGAGGTTAGGTAGGCAGGCACCTTAGCTTTATCTGATTACCTACACAAAGGAACCCCCACCCCCTGCCTAATGCCCCGCGATTTACTACCAGCGGCAAAGGAGTCATCCTTTTCATCGTCAGTCGCCCCGCGCACGGCCAGCCGTTTTTTGACTAGAGCTCTCTCACGCAGCAGCTGCTCTGCGTGTCGCGCACATAAGCCCTTGTCCCTTGGCTCCGAAAGGAATTTACAGAAAAGAAAGGTCTTATCATAGCCAGTCGCACTTCTCGCGGGTTCCGCGCCATCTCCGTTGCTCTCAAATAAAAATCAGCACCATTTTCGCGAATTCGCCACCCGTTCTCTCGCTGCCTCTCCGATACCCATATCCATATGTTCCTCGCTAATACATAGGAGCGCAAACCCTTTCCACGATTTGCCCCCATTTTTACAAAGACCCAAAAGAGCTTCAAGTTACTGCCACACCCGTTGTAGAAAGCATGAGACACGTCTGCCTCAACCGGTAGCCATGGACGCCGACAGTGACGACCTGCGCCAGGACGAGCTCAGCTCCTTGCAGGCTATCTTCCCCGAAATCGAGCCCGACGACCAGCGACCCTTCTGCTTCACTATTCAACTGCCGGTCCGTCCCGCGAAGCCTGTGACTGTTGCGTTTCCCGCCGCCCCCAGCGCCCAAGACACAGCCGCTGCTCAGCTCCCAGGCGTCGAACCCCGCGTCGATTCGCATGAGCTCTCCCACCTCCCGGCCGTCGTGGTCCGCATGGAACTGCCCGAGGGCTATCCGTCAGAACGGCCGCCCGGCGTCAGCATAAACACATCGCCACCGTGGCTGACGAGGGATGTCATCAAGAAGCTGGAGGACGACGGCCCGCGATTGTGGGAGGAGATGGGCCGTGATATGATCGCTTTTACATACATTGATCACGTCCAGCAAGCTGCGGATGATGTGTTTGACATGGTTGACGGGAATGGCACTCTGGAGATTGACCCATCCCACAAGATCGCCATCCTGGACTACGATATCGAGGCTGCTCGGGCTGCGTTTGAGAAGGAGACCTTTGACTGCGGCATCTGTCTAGGTATGCGACCCCGTGACAGCTTGGCCGTCCCTTGGAAGCCCGCTAATCCGCCGCGCAGACCCCAAGAAAGGTTTCATGTGTCACAAGATGCTCGATTGCGGGCACATATTCTGTATCCAATGCTTACAGGAATTCTACAATAATGCCATCACGGAAGGAGACCTGGCAACTGTCCGCTGTCTTGCCCCGAACTGCTCCAAAGAGCGCGCCGAGGCTGGACAGGTCTCGGCCTCGGGCAAGAAGCGCAAGGTCAAGACCTCCATCAGCCCAAGTGAACTGCTCCAGATTGGTCTGCCCCAAGAGATGGTGACTCGCTACGTGACCCTCAAGTACAAGAACGAGCTCGAGTCGGACAAGGACACCATCTACTGCCCCCGGTCGTGGTGCCAGGGCGCTGCGAGGTCCAAGAAGCACAGGAAGCCCGAGGGGCTGGAGATGGTTGAGGCTTCAGGTGAAGATACAGAGGACGATGAAGGCGCCGGGGGGCAGGACGACGGCGGAAAAGGCAAGAAGAAGCAGGCTTTTGACCGCGGGGACCTCCTGGCGATATGCGAAGACTGCGGCTTCGCCTTCTGCAGCCGCTGCTACCAGTCGTGGCATGGCGAGTTCTACCGCTGCACGCCCAAGCGGGACACGGGCGAACTTTCGGCCGAGGAGCAGGCCTCGATCGACTACATCAACCTTCATACCACACCGTGCCCGACGTGCGGCGTCACGGCGCAGAAGAGCCACGGGTGCAACCACATGATCTGCTTCCGTTGCGCCTCGCACTTCTGCTATCTATGCTCGGCCTGGCTCGACCCCAGGAATCCCTACGCCCACTTCAACGAACAGCCCGACGGCAGAATCACGTCGTGCTTTATGCGCCTGTGGGAACTGGAAGGCGGCGATGGCGATAACGTCGGCATTGGCTTCGCCGGCGGCGCGCGGCAGGCGCAGGCACAGGACGAGGACGATGACGAGGACGAGGGCGTCGTCGAGATAGTCGACCTTGTCCCCGAGATCGAGGAGCCGGACGACAGCGATTCGGACACGGAGGCGGACGACGTTCCCCAACCACCGCCCCCTCCGGCGGGTGGCGTTGCACGAGAAGGGCCGCTCGTCCTACGGATCGGAGCCGACCCGGCTCCTCGGGGCGGCCGAGGAGGAGGAGGAGCAGCAGGGGTTGCCCACGGTCCCGTCCCGCCGGCCGCGCCACCAGCGCCGGCCAACCCCGCGAGAAGAGGCGGGCCTCCCGTACGAGGCGGACGTGGCGGGCGCGGAAACAGAGGCGCAGACGTTCGAGGCGGTCGGCGGCAGAACCAGCAGAGGAACCAGCGGTTACGGGTGCCCGTCGTGGGCAGGAACGGGGAGATTGGCATCGGCGTCGTTGACGCCGACGCGCTCGACGCAGCGCAGGAAGCTTGGATCAGACGATTCGTGCAGATGGCTTTGGACGACGAGGAAGAGGACAGCGACGAGGGGTGATTGTTTCCTGGTGGGCGCAACACATGTCAGACGAGAACCATAGACGGGAGAGCAGGGCAACTTGGACATGGACGACAGCATGATGGTCAGACAGGACAGCGAATCGAATCAACTACCGAACTACCTTTGGCCGGGACACTAGTGTGTGCTGCGTGTGTGTGACGGGCCTGCGCCGTGACAGAAGGCATGTCACAAGCAGGCAGCGGCCCTTGCCCCCTCCTCCTTTCTCATCCTCCTTTCCTCTCCTTCTTTTCTTCTTGACTACCGGCATTCGGTTGGGAATAGTCGTTGGACGACGCTCAATATCTTGAGGGGGGGAGGGAACATGGATCGACCGGCTAAGCAAGACTGCCAGGAGAGTTCGAGAGCGTGTCATTTCAGCGCAGTGATTCCACCCTGAATCCAGTCTGCAACAAGTCGCTCCCAAAGCCAGGCAACATCAGACAAACATCTCCTCAAGCTGCGCCCACATGCTGGCACCCCCCCCTCCCCCACCAAGGCAGCGCCGTCAAAGCCTGGAGCTGCCTTGGCAAAGGCATAAACACATGCAAGCAGGCGAGGCCCAATATGAAGGACCGTTGTTCGGCTCGTTATAAATACATTTGATCATGGCTGGGGGGAAGGGGGGGGGGGGGGGCTACTCGATACACTGGAACACCCCAGCCAACATGAAAGTGAAAACGGCTTGACAAACTCACCTTCCTGGTTCTACTTTCCTTTTAGGGGGGGGGGGGGGGAGATTAAGAAAACGGGCGAGATTAGCAACATCCACGGTGCCCTCTTCCAGGCTAACAAACTCGTTTGGACGAGAGAGCCTCAAGACTTCCGTCGTCGTCCTCGCCATTGGGCTGCAGTGGGGAGGGGGGGGAGGGAGGAAAACGGGGAATGGGACGGAGGTGAGGTGGGCCGGTAGATTGCCTGACCACAACCGGGTTTCCCATCAACTCTGTTCCTGTGCTTGTCTTGCCAAACCGATCGATCCTCGTTTCTTCCCTCCCCCCCCCCCCCCCCCCCCGAAACCGATGATGGCCCGTCATATCCCTACGCAAGATCACCACCGACCGCCCATCGGGCTCGAATGATTTCGGCTCGGGGAGGAGGAGAGGGCTTCGCACGACAGACGTGACGTGGTTTTTTAATAATAATAAAAACACGAAGTGTTGATTCCGAGTTCCGCTCACCACGACATGCGGCATGCCCCCGCTCTCAGTCTCGCTCTCACGGGACCGGGCAACGGCATCTGCATATCCGCTTAGCATGTCCGGCTCCGTCCAAAATATCATTGGCGATTCAAAGCCTGCACCCCCTCCCCCACCGCTCCTCCCGGCAAGAAAGGATATGTTCAGAGCAAAGGGGGATGAAAGGAGCGAGAAGGAGCTCGGAGCGTTCGTGGGCGGTCGCATCAAGAGTGAGAGGAGGGAGGTCGGGGGAGGATCAAGGGCCGGGCAGCAAGTCTGGGGGTTACAATGGGAAGGGGAGAACAGTCGTTGGCGTGCCATCGGACCCAACGCCGGCTGGAGGAAGAGGCTCTCCCTATCATCTACGCTGCACCTAATTCTCTTTACCTTCCTCTCCCTCTTTGTGTGTGCGTGTGCGTGTGCGTGTGTGTGTGTGTGCCCCTGACTCCTCGCCATCTCTAGACCCCATCCTTATCCTCACCGCCAGAGACGCTCCCACTCGAATCCCAGAGTCTCCGCCTTCTACTCCTTCTGCCGGCACGCAAGATATCACGCAAGATATCACGCAGGATATCCCGCATACGTGCGTCCCCAATCTCGTCGAATTTCCGGCCGCGCGTTCGATCAAAGGGGGGGGGGGGGGGGGGGGGGTGAGCAATGGATGACTGCGTGATATTTCATAGCAGTTGCAGTCTTATATCTCCCAACATCCTCGGCCCTATGTCATAAAGCCTGCCCCGCTTGAATGGACGAGTACCGAAGATCAATGAGGGGAGGATGGAGAAGGGAGGGAAGAGGAAGGTCACAACAGGGTAAGGTTATTACACGCAAGGTGCAGCGTGGCTCTGGAAAGGGGTCCGCAAGAGGAGGAAACAGGAGGGGGGGGGGAGCAACGCAACCTCGACATATCTGTAGGTAGGTAGCAGGCGAAAAGGGGTGACGAGGGGAGGAGCCCTTAGAGTTGCCCAGAAATGGCTGCTACTCTGCCAACCTCGCAACGGACCTTCATCCGCACGCCAGAGCCTGAAGCAGCGGGCTCGCAAGCGATGGACGACTTGCAAGAGGGGAAAGGGGGGGGGGGGGGGGGGGGTGAACGCGGGTTGCGAACGAGAAACGGCGGGCGGCGGGTGGCGGGTGGCGGGCTAGGTTGAGTTGCTAGTGGCGGTCGACGGAGTGTCCCGCAAGCGAAGCCATCCATGGCCGAGCTACCTGATCACAAGCCAACCTCCAATACCTAGCTTGTCGTTTGGCCAGAGTGCAAGAACCCAACGATGCCCCCCACCGGGTTGGTTTGCATCTGCCGGACCCGGATGGTTCAGGCCTGAGTCGAAGACTGGTCCCGAAGGCCAGAGCCTGTCAAGTAGCCAACCAAAGGGGGGCAGTGGGAAGGCTTGGGGTAATTCACCGCGGGCGTGGCGACCGAGTGGTAGGAGAAATGCTCCGAAGACTACAAACAGCAGCAGCCATATGGTTTTGCTACAGTACACTGTGAGTATGTTGCATCTATGATGGGGAGAGAAGAGGGGCGGGAGCACGAGTCGGAATGAGATGGGAGGGGCTCGTCGAGTCGACGTCCATCCAAATCATAAGACCCTGGAGCCAAGCTGTTAATACCAAGGTCCCAGGTTCCAGGTTCCAAGTCTATGATGCGCCTGTACGCGGTATGTCCCAAGGCAAGAAGAGGGTGGGGGGGATACATACCTGTGAATAACAGGAAGAGGGGTGGTATGCCATCTACAGAGTATCAAGCTCCGATCGCTGCCGAGTCTGCAACCCGTAAACACACCCTCCTTCATGACAAAAGGCAAAGTTGTGGCGTGCAACAGTGATAGAGACGGAATGGACAATCCAACTGACAGACAGACACAGACACGTACAGAGTGAGAGGGGAGCCCCATCATGCCCGTTTGCGACGCCGCGGTCCCTGCCGTCATCGCGCCGAGGATGCTACCATCTCGGCTGCTGATACCTATGCAAACTTATAACCGCGACGGAGACCTGATCAAGGGAGCTATCTGGAGCTTGGATCTCGTTAGGCCCGAGATCTCCGCAATTTTTGGCCCTAGTCGGACAATGGTCATTCCGTTGCGAGCCTGGCCTTGCGAGCGGCATGGATACCCGTCCTGCTCTTTCATTCCTTTGCGCGCGCAGGACGGACCCCCCCATGGATTATGGATCCGGGGAGTATGAACCGGATGGGGATCGAGCACGTTAACGATGCCATCGATGAGGGTGGAGCAGGGGTCCAAGGGGCGTAGGTTCTGGACGACTCACGAAGTAGCCACATCGTAACCTTCCTGATGGGTTCCCCCTCCCCCTCTCTTTGCTGAAGACAAGTGGAGTGTGATGACAGCTACTTCAGGTACAGCTACTTCAGGTACGGTTCGTATGCACACCGGCGAGGCAGGCGTCGCATCGTGCTGCACGGGGTAGACAGCCACCACGGCCACGTTGAATGTGAGAGTAGAAGCCAGGCCGGCAGGCCGACCAGCTTGTCAAGGGAGTAAAGGAGGCCAAGGGGAGCAGGAAACGTTTCTTGTCCTTGCACCTCTAGGGCCGGTCCACTTTTGCTTCGGAAAGAATCTTGCGATCCAATGTGACTCTGTACTACGTAGAACGGAGGTGACAATGGTTTCAAGAGCACCTTGCTCTAACAATTGCACGAGTCGGCCTGGCGCGAAGAGTCAAGGCCGTATCATCATAATCGTACGAACAGACCGCCGTCGCCACCCCTTTCCTGCGACGCCATCGTTATCGTGCCGACCTGCTGTCGGTAAAACGCCGGCGACGACGCGGTCGGGTATTGCAGGCGGCCAGCGTCGCCTGGGTCTAGAGATTGATAGACACCAGGGCCTTGGAGTGCCACGACCCCATAGAGACGTCGCCGATCCAGGTACACAACGATGTCATTGACTGTGAGGCGTGGATGTCTGAAAATGCCAAGGCAGGTGACAGACGGCGTGCGACGGGGTGACTGACTGAACTTGCTTCTTTGCTTGCCCGGCCAAGGTACTGTGGGCGAACTGGTCAGTGATGTCGCCGGTATGTAAAGCCGGATTGGCCATGCGTCATAGAATCTTGCTACACAATGGTAGTCTAGGCAAAAAGCCGCGCGCGCGCGTGTGTGTGTCTGTGTCTGGCTACGGAACCTCCTATCAAAAGCCACACGTGCTCCCAAAGCGCTCTTCGTATAGCCCTGCTGGAACAGACCACGAGGCCCACGACAACCCCAGGAAAGTGGCAGTTCGAGGGAATCAGGCACGATACAGCTCCAAGCCCGTTACTTGTCTTCCCCGTCTAGGACCTCGGGGCCGGGATTCTAGCGGGTGCCCGCCGTCGTGATAGGGGAAAGCCAGGATATCCAGGACCGGCTGCAACCCCGAACGTTGCTGTACTTTTGCAAAGGAGCTTCTGCACGACTAACGCATACGCGAAGGGCTATCATTTGACCGGATGATATTTGCGTGGGCCTCTGACCAACACCTTGAAGCTTAACAGCGACGTTATTGCAGCATCGCCAATGGATCCCACCGTTTTCCTCCTGGGTTACAGGTGTCTGCCGAGCAGGCCCTGAACATTGCATAAATTCGTTATGCAGGGCCGTTTTGCGATCACTGGGGTGCTGCACGTGTCTGTGAGCGAACGAAGGGCCAGGCATGGTCTGCCATAGTCGTTGAAAGCCCCTACTGCAGGTTTACTGTTGGATACGACCTCATCACCGATCATGGGCTCCCAGGTCGCAGGACGGAGACTTCCATACACTGTAATGAAAGCGAGGTAAAGCGGGGATGAGCGTACACTAGAGACTCCACGATCAGCAAC